CCTTTTTTCCTCTGGTATCTCCGGGCTTTCCAGAGTGCAATTTAAAACTATTGTCTGTAATTCGCTTAAAAAAATTATCAATATCTATAAAGTCAACAAAAGTTATATTAAAGATTTTATATACAGCAGAGTCAATAATCACAAAATTTGTTTTTTAATACTGAAAACAAACAAACAAGTAATGGCTAATTTGAAACTGAGGAACTACATTTGTGTCGATAGCCCGTCAGACTTGCATTAATAATCTTGAATCTGATATATCAGTTTCCATACTTCTTTCTTCAAAAAATATACGTTATGAAACACAAAACTATGGTGAAACAGTATAAGCCCTTGTGCTCCATGTTGCTCAAATGAGAAGTACTATGCACAGTGTTATTCAAGCAAGAGACATGTGTGGTCTATTACGGCAGAGCATTTCACAACCAACTATGTCTGGTTAGACACTCAGATCCAAGTTAAGTCCTAGATGTACACAAGACCACTTGAATTGTGCCTTTAAATACCCATGGCAGATCACTCATGAAAAATGTCTTAAGCAGAACCATTACCTCTTAATCAAATGGGAAAAAAAGTTAACAACTGCCCTAGGGCTTATCATGATGAAGTTGAGGAGAAATGGGCTTGATGTCATCTGGAATTCTGAAAGTATTGCTGAACAAATCCTGTAAATTCTATAATGGAAAGCCAAACATTGTGCATTTACATTTCATTTACTATGCCACACTGATAAAGCTGCTTAACAAATAGTAGCAGAATGAGGTTGGTGGTACAGGAGGAAGATAAACAAGTATTAAGAAAATTGAAGAAAAGAGAGAAAAAAAAGCACTGATATAGCTGCCCTATTACTCCAAGACAGAAGAGGGATGAGCAGCAAGATTTTTGAAGTGAAGAACTGAGTGCTGGCAGGTCAGATATTGGACAAAAATTACCCAAATAAGGGGGTCCATTCAACTTGGGGACTGGTCTTACTTTAGCAATTTTAAGTCCATTGGGGAAAATGCTGCTAATGAGAGAGGAGTTGAAAACATGTAATACTATGGGAGCAATGACAGTAGCTATGCTTTTGATTACTTTCATTGAAATATCTTCATAATCTGGGGGATCCTTTTTTACACCTTCGTATGTGACACTTTAGGATGAGATTTTCCTCTATATGGTTATCTAAATATACTTGTAAATTCCAAGCAGAAAGACTGATTCATGAGGGCAAATTAAAACCAACATTAGCTAAATAATTACTAAATTCATTAAACATGTCCAGGTTATTAGTCAGGTAGCCAATATTTGTATCTATTTCCAGTGGCAGGGATTTATGATGAGGTCAATTTAGTATAGCTTTAATTGTTTGCTACGCTTAGTTATTGTTACATTTGTTTTCAATAAGTTTCTTTTTATAATAGTTCTATCCATTTGCATTTTGTTTGGGTAGAATACTTTAACACCCTCTTGAACAGGAACACATCAGTCCAACAAGACTTCCTCCGAAATGTACCACAACATTCACCCCAACTATGGATGTCCCTACCACCATGATTTCAAGAATTTGATGCAGTGCTAAAACAAATGCACCAAGGGAAGGCCGCGGGACCGGACAACATTCCTACTAAATTCCTGACCCATGGAGGTTTAGTTCTGAAGACATGCCTTCACTCCCTCATACTAAAAGCATGGGAAGAAAAACAGGCCCTCAATGATTGGAAAAATGCACTCCTTAACACCATCTTCAAAAAAGGAGATAGAAGAGAATGTGGGAATTATAGAGGGATATCCTTGCTATCAATTGCAGGGATGATCTTGGCAAGGATCCTACCAAATAGATTACAAATTGTAGCAGAAATAATCTTGCCAGAATCCCAGTGTGGTTTCCACCCATCTAGAAGAACCATAGACATGATTTTCTGTGCTCACCAACTACAGGAAAAATCAAAAGAACAGCAAAAACCCATATTCCTAATTTTCTATAACCTCGAAAAAGCATTCGACAGCGTACCAAGGACAGCCATGTGGCCATGTGGCTTTTTGTTGACATATTCAAAGCCCTATATGATGGGATGACAGGTAAAGTAATCCATCAAAGTAAACTGTCAGCCCCCTTCCCAATCACATGTGGACTAAAACAAGGATGTGTAATGGCTCCGACCCTTTTCTCTTTATACTTAGCTGCCATGCTATATGAAGTACCCCACAAGATTGAGATAAAATACAGATTAAATGGAGGAATTTTCAAACTGGCCAGACTCAGTTCACAGTGCAACAGCAACACCATCAATGTGATGGAACTAGTGTGCAGATGATAACGCTGCTGTAGCCCACACCCAAGCAGAGCTCCAAGAATCGGTGGATAATTTCTATGCTGCCTACACATGCTTTGGCCTAACAGTTAACAAGGCCAAAACTAAGATATTGGCCCAACCAAGACAAGGGGAGAATACACCAGTAACTAACATCACCATGGATGGAACCATAATTGAATGTGTCGAACACTTCCCATACCTGGGAAGCATCCTTTCCACCCAGGGCACCACCTCCAAAGAGATCGAAAACAGGTTACAAGCTGGCCACACTGCATATGGGAGACTATCCACCAGGGTGTTCAAGAACAAAGACTTAACCACCCATACAAAGGTGATGGTATACAACAACATTATAGTATCAACCCTGTTGATACTATGTGAGACTTGGACCCTTTATAGTAGGGACCTCAAAAAATTGGAACAATTCCACCAGAAAAAACAGAGCAATAATGAAAATCAAATGGAACAACTATGTGTCCAATACAGCAGTCCATGAAAGAGCCAACATCACCAGCATCGAGGCCATGATCATGAAACACCTCCTAAGTTGGTTGTGTCTCATCTGGAGTGCGTATGGACGGACTCAAAATTTACAAAAAAATTCTCTTCAGTTAAGTTAAATACAGGTGTATCGTCCCTAGGCCGCCCTAGTGCTTTGATTTAAAGAACACCAACTTAAGAAAATCCCTCAAGGAAGCTAACTTTTGACTCCAAACACTTTGAAGCATCAAGCGAGCGAACAGGAACAAGAGGGGAGAGCAAAATTAAAGTGGGCACAGACTCTTTGAAGAGAAAAGAAGAGCAACGTAGTTACTAAACGAGACAGCACGGGCAGAAAGAACAAATCAACCACAGCGCACACCTCCACCACGAAATTCAGTGCGATCAACCACACAATTATTCAGAGCACGAATTGGGTGTTACGAGCCATAAGAAGGCTCACCACCCTAACAACAATTAACCTATGACCCCCTCCGCTATTTATTCTTTATTGGACTGAAAACTATGATATTCATATACGAGTACATGCAGCCGATGACGATATATATATTCTGTATGCATATACATCAAGTTATTCGTATTCTATCTATTCTAATTCTTATTCGAATTTTCTATACCCTCTATATTATATATTAATGTACTTACCTTGATATTTGTTATTCTGGTGGATAAATTAGCATTATTCCTAATATTTTTATTGATGAGTCCTCATTACTTAATAAATGTGAGTCAAAAGTCTCAACTAAATATAGTTATACTCAAATCACATGAGGTTTAGATACTATAATTATAATATATATAATAGTTGTTGTATACCATAACCTTTATGGGGTTTAAGTCTTTGTTCTTGCAATTATCAAACTATCAGTCATGTAGTTAGATCAGAATTAGTTACTCCTCACTACATATATTAGCAGTGGTGGCCAGCTATTTATGTAACTCATGTTTTCTCAGGATATATCATACTGTATTAGAGATGATTGATGGTGCCTAGGTTGAGAAAGGATTGTCATTACCTACTATGATATCGTAAGCTGTTATCGTATACACATATTTCACAATATTAATATGGTTATACCATCACAATAGGCCTTGAATGTTATAGTTTAACTTAGGTGTAATATTCATCCCTTTGTTCATGGTTATGTAGGCACAATATCTATTAGTTATTGTTAGCTCATTGTTTAATACTGTTTAGGTACTACATTAAACAATTAGTATTTGTATGAGTCAAGCAATAGTATATTATCACACGAATTATCTAATTAGAGGTAAGCTTTCTGACTTGGTGATGTGGGCTATTACAGCAGACGTTATTACAATATTACTGCACTCACATTCTAGTATTATTCAATACAATTGATGGTTATTTATAGTACTTATGTTGTCACTGTGACTGGAGTTCCGAGTATCTAATGTTTAGAAAAATTCCTTCCATATAATAATCTTGTAATATTATTATACTCATTTCTTATGGAGGATACTTATCTATAATTAAGCAATATTAGGCAGTTAATAGTATAATATAAATGAGATAAATTAGTGTGTCGGAGACTTTATACACTATACCTATTATAGTTATTTATATTAGTCCACATTAGTATATTTAGTACGGTTATAAGGTATTATAGAGGAGGCTCGTAACTAGGTTATTATATCTTATTATGCATGTGATTATATACTAATTAACACTCATGTTCAATACTACTTCTTATAAGGCTAATATTAGTACACTAGTATAAACCTAAAAAACAGCTCACATGTGACCACAATGGCTGTCCTTGGTAGTCATTAGTATCTCGAATGTACTCATTTTTCGGAGGAATTATATGAACAATTTATAGGAAAGTATGTGGATTTTGCTGTTATTATGATTTTTTACCTTGATAGTTGATAGTGAGTCAACACGATAATATAATTAATCAATGTCTATAGGTTATCTTTACTTATATGATAGGGTGGAATCCTAACCACACTTAGTGAATATATTTATACTTGATGACAAGATTATATTTTCATGTCTAATCATAATTATATGTTAATTCTAATATTTCGGTAGGATCCTTCGAGTCATATGAATTCTCACTATTATGCAATTGATAGACAAGGATTATCTCACTCTAATATATATAATCCCATATTATCTATCTTCTATCTCCTTTTTATTTTGAATATGTAATAAGTGTGTTAAGGAGTTATGCA